TACAAAAGTTAAAGGAGCTTTAAGCAATTCTATTGGCTTAAACTCACTTTTAGCCAACAGAATTCCTTAAAGCTCCTTTAACTTTTGTAGTGTAGACAAGGCCTTTAAGTCGCTTTTTCAGCCTCTTGTAACAACTTATTTCATGTTCCACATAAGCGACTGGCTGATGCATATAACTGGCTGAATGTCAGCCACTTATACTTATCTGAACTTCCGTTTTACAGTGAGGAGACAACACAATGAGTTATCTATTATGTACCAGTACAGTATTACTTCCTTATTAATTCTCTCTCTAAGTTACCAGGTTCTTAAAGGCTGTCTTTATATTAAGTTAACTAAGCACAAGCAGAATGGTTTCTGTCTAGATTGAGATGAATAAGACTGAATTAAGCATTTGAAAGCAGTTCTGAAGACGAAAGAGGATAAAATTAGGTTTTGAAACTTATTATTTTTAATGCACTAAATCTTTTGGTGTAACTGAATGAGGTTGACCTCCTGGAGGTGATCTCAGATATGAGACACTCCACGGTCCATCCGAAGATTATCAAGTTATTTTGTGATAAAAACCAAAAGCTTTTGGAATCTGTGGGATTCTAACGCTCGAAGTTTAGTGAAACTGTATTTTAAGAACGGGCTGTTTGGTACTTTTTACAAAGCCTAGAAAATATGTGTTTTTGTTGAATTTTTTGCGCTGTTTTGAGTAAAATACAGTCAGATAGTACTGATTGTACAACTAAGACATGCTGTTCATAAAGGCTTAGCTCTTTGGCATGAGCTTGTTTTCATAAGCCTGAATACATCACAAAAATTGTTCATTTCTATCAAATGTACCACCATTTAAATCCTTTCCACATATTTTATACAATATAGCCACCTAATTTCTCTCTTCTTCATCATTAGCACACCGAATATGTTCGTATTCCATGTCTTACACAAAGTTTTTTTCTGAAATTATAAAATCTTTTTTTTGATCTACATTAACTAACTGGAATAATCTTCCACAGTCAGTTACTTCTTTCTCTTCACTTTTGTCCTTTAATAGAACATTATTTAATCATATCTTCAACAGTTGATTGTTATTTTTACTTAGCTTGCTTTTGTGCTACTTCTATTGTTTACTTCAATCGATGTTTGTAGTTGCTGTCTACGTATTTTTTTTCATTCTTGGTTTCTTTCTTATTTTTTATTTTACTTCTCTTGTTACACTCTTTTTATGTATATCTAGATCTTAGAGGGGGCTCATCGTTTTACATGTTGTGACCTTTGATGTCCTTTCATCTAGCGGTGATTAAAATAAATTATTATTTATTAAAAATATCTCATTCAATTATTATCCAATCCAGATAAATTTAAGCATGTGGAAATCTAATTAGGTAGATAAAACAAACATTAAAAACTTGAATGCAAAGATCACATCACTTTTCCGGCTTCTAATAATTAAATCAAGTACATTTGTACTTATTGCGAACATAACAGTGTTTTTTTTTCCTATACTGAAGAGATTTCTTTTCATTTTCTAAGTCATAAAATTCTATCACAAATATAGATGATTTATCAATTGAGTAGGAATTTACGAAAGGAAGTATTTTTGTCGCACCCAATTCAGCATAGTTTACAACAAAATTTTTGTACTTAAAAAGAGCATGTCATTGATGTATATAAACAACCGAAATCTGAACTTTCAGAATAACTCTTAGAGGAGTAGAACAATGATACTTGAATAATGAATAGGATAATTATATTCCGAAAAGTTGTCGAGAGGGTATCTCACAAAGTGCAAAACTAGATCCTAGGTACCAGCGTATTGTGACTAAACGGAAAAAAGTGCTTTCGTTCTCGTTCTCGCGATATTTGAACAAAAACTTCGATGACATTTTTCATATTGAAATAAGTTTGGATTTCCTATTCTTTCGATGAATTTCATTCATATCAAAATGCATGAGGTTGTTCAAATGACGGTATACTTTGTTAAAAAATTATGAGAATAAATGGATTTCTGTGGGACATGTATAGCTATGCTTTTTCTAATCAGCAATATTAAAAAAATTCAGAAATAATGATAAAATTAGTATTTCGATGCCCGAGAGGTATATCAGTGTCTCTCAAAAACGACGTTTTTTTCGGTTGAAAAAGATATGGATTTTTACATAACTTGGACTATAAAGTGTGTATAATGCGTTCTTCTCGAGTTAATATCGTGTAAAAGTCGGAGGAATCCGCGTGGAAACATTTTTTATTTGTTTTCTAACTGAAAAAAAAGATGTATTTAGCTATAACTAAGTATTTTTCCGGAAACGATCCATCTTTTTTCGTTCCACATTTTTGAGGAATATGGGCATTTTATCGCATTATAATTATTATTAATATAATTAGCTGTATATTAGTATTTCCAGAGGCAACGTTTGCAATCTGACAAGTCGTTGATGGATTCTTCCATTATTAGTTCAATCAGACCATCGATAAAACGTTCTCTTGTGTAAAATACTCACAATGTATGTGCATAATCATTTCAGAATGTTCTTTATGTCTATTAGAACGCGTTTTATCACATAAATATAGAAACTGGAATATAGAAATGCAAGGTTATAAAAGTGTTCATCTTCTTTTAGTTTGTTAAATAAATATGAAAAACACCCGCACAATTTAATTTTTAGTTGCGACTGATAGTGCTTTTCTTTTCCATAGTTTTCGGCCCTAGAATCATGATTATTTACACATTTCAAGCGTGACTAGGTGTTTTATTCTCTCTGTTCAAAAAAGACGTTCTTTTTCTTTTCTAACTATGAAACAGCAAATTTATCGTGTTTTTTCTAATTCTGAAATACTATTATTGTTTCTTCATTTTGCGTAGTATGAAGAATGTGTGAACTCTTCCGTTCACGAACGTAACCACAGAAACAGAAGAAAAGCAGAAGAATGGAAAAAACCAGTGAATAGAATTATAAGTTATAAATTCTTAAACGAAGACAGAACGACTTTAAATGTGTTTCCTTATGGAAGTATTTAATAATTGATTTTTTGTGATAATGATACCACTAATATAGGTTAACTTAATGTGACAAGAAGTGTGAATATGTAGGTCAATATGCCCTCTCTAACCCCAACTGAAGGGCATATTTCTAGAAAAAAAGTTTATCAACGCAGATCTTGGGTCTAAAGTGTAACTCCTCCATTTAAACGTGATGGACTAAGTTGGGGCTGGATGAAATCTATGTCCCGAGTGTGTTAGTATCTTAAAATACTGTTTCTACGCAAATATATTCTCCTTTACCTAGTCCGCATACACAATGTATATTCAGTATTGTTCGTGGGTTCACGTACGTCGCAAACGTTAGAAGAGGAAGGTATGAGACGGTTGACATTTTTAGATTTCTAGTACTTTCTTCCTTGATAAACTTTCACTTCTTGTTCTTCCTCTTTCAGAGGAATTCAGGAGGGGGGGGGGAATGACATAAAAGAAAGAAAAAATATTATTCGTGGGTGTGTACTTCATGTGTATGTTTGAAAATGTAGGCTACTGTACAATGAAAAAATAATAGATTTTTAATTCTCGCAAGTGAGTTTCAATCATCAGACTACCCTCTGTCGATCTACTCTAGTTCAAGATCTCTATTAATGAATTTTAGTAAAAGACACAAGTTTAGGAATTTTATTCATATTTTTCTATTTTGAAAATAAATACAGATTTTCAAAGCTTAGAGTAAACAAATGATGTTCAGTATGTGCAATTGAGTATGCCATGAAACTTTTGAGCCAATTTAGGTGACTTTGAGTGGTTTATAAGTATTTCAAAAATAGCTAAAATTAGTATTTAACCTAGATGAGCTAGCTATTTTTAGGTTTTGTCCTTATTTAAAACAAAATATAACTGGAAGAACCAGTATGATAGATAGTGTGTGTTTCCATTTTTCAAATTGCAAGCTGAGAACTCGCAAAATCTGTGAAATGAATAGTAAATTATTAACTTTTTCTTTATTCTTTGAATGTGAAGCTGTGTCTTTGATGGTGCCATTTTTTTGTTGCCTGTCAAAGAAAAAGAAAGAAAAGAAAAGAATAAGTAGAAATATAACAGCGTTACAAAACAGAATTCTCTTTTCCTTTTGTTGCACAGAAGTTTGTGTTTGTTTATTTTTCAAGTATTTCTTTTTTTTGTCTCGACTTTTTTCCATAAATGAAAACTACATTTATGTATCAAGGTTAACGAGTTTATATGTTTATTAACCTAGTGCTTTTTATTGTCTAAACATTTACCTGTAAACTAATTTTATACGTAGAAGTAGAATATCTATAAAAGTTTTGAAATCTGAGAGTACTAGCGATTAAATTTTAAATTAATCATCCAACTTTATAAATCATTCAAAGTTTCCACTGAGGATCTGATTTAGTGATTTTCTCTGTGTTCTGTCTTTAACTTACCTCAATTAAATTGTTTTGAATTCTAGTAAATAATTGATCGTTCATATCCATGCGTTTTTTAATGAACAATATATTCTACCTTGTTTTCTTTTTATTGAGGGCAACAGGAATAGAATCATCATAATAGAGCTAAAGAATATTGTGTTTGTAGACTAATATTAATGTATTGAATTATTTTTGTACCATGAGTCCGAATAAAAGAAGGATTAAGCTTCAGGAGAAAAGGAAATAATAAATAAAGAACAAATCCACCAATAAACTTCACCATACAAAGCATTATATCAAGTTAATTAAGGTCAGAAAATTTATATCTAAAAATATATTTTATTTTTTTGCCATTGTAATTTCAAATGTTAACTATTTTATTCCTATGTAGTCAGTTTTAATTGACAGACGGACGGTTTTTAGCTTATTTTTGACTGTAGTTAGTTTCGGAAAATGCTGACTATCATTAAGTTAAGATAGTACTATTTTTTTCAAAACACTTTCCACTTTCATCGCCGCTATAGTCTGCTGTAATTGAAGATGGTTCTTAATTAATTTTAGATATTAAAATAAATATTATCTGCTGAATAACAATCAAAATGGGTAGTTTAAGCGATGATCCAAACATGGAATGTTCTGACATCGAATATGAACATACTACACCTATGTCCGATCAAGCACTATGCTCGAACAGTAGTTATGACAATTTAGACGATACTGATGGTGATACAAGTGAAATCAAAGTTAAAAAGCCCAAAGTTGCTTTTCCATTTGGAAAATGGTACATTTCTGTTCTGTACACAAATTCATAGTGTGTTCACCTGGAGTTTTCTGTTTATTTTTTTTAGTCGTGTATGCACAGATAAGGCAACCGGTGCGCATTATGGAATTTCCACATGTGAGGGGTGTAAGGTGCGTGATGTTCAAACTCCAAGTTGATTGATCAAATGCTAAGATTTGTATCTTATTTTTTAACTAAGACTAAGATTGTGACTACTAATAATACTAAGCAGGCAGTGTTTTTTATTTTTTTAGGGTTTTTTCAAACGAAGCATATTACGTAAAGAAAAATATCGCTGTTATTTCGGCAACCGATGTATAATTAATGTTGAAAATCGAAATCGATGTAAATCATGCAGATTTCAAAAATGTATGAAAGAAGGAATGTCAGTTGATGGTAATCATTTTCTTTCTTCTTGTTTCTAAAAACTATTAAATAAACTTTTATTTCAAGGTGTTCGAATGGGTCGAATCCCAAAATTGGTGAAAGAAAAAGCTTTGAGAGAACAACGTCTTAATCAACAAGGAACAGAAGTTAATTCACCCGAATCTGTGGGATCTACTAGTGATAAAAATTCAGAAAATGACGATCCAGAACACATACAAATGGATCAGGGTAAGAAAAAATAGAACCATTTATTTCCCAAAAATCTTCGACGAGAAATAAGCTGTAGAACCTGGATGGGTTTTAACTTGAACTAACTCAATACTTTTAGTTACAACTTACAAAAGAGAAAAGATCGTACATTTTTTGGTGCATTTCAAGATTTCTAGAAAAATGCTTTGAACTTTTTACACAAGGTTGCACACGGTTGTACTGTGCCTAATTTTGATCATAAATGTTTGTTCTGCAAATCTTAAGCGTATAACAGTCATTCAATCACTTTTTATTGCTGGTTTCTTGATGGATCAAGCTTTTTTTCTCAAAAGACAAGTTTCCTTAAGGCCCTATCAACAAATTATTATTATTTTTTTTTAAGAACAACGCGTTTAACAGAATCAAAACTTATTTTGCGTTTTTCTTAAGACTGCTTTTTAGCAGGGCTTTCGCCACGTGCAGGAATTCTCGGTAACGGTACATCGGAGAAAGAAAAGTTTTTTTGTTGATTTGTAGATAACACCTACAGGTAGGAGTTGACAGCGCCCGATTTTTAAATTATGCTTCCGTTTTTTATAGAAATGAGGATTTCCAAGGATTTTTCAGACTTTATAGTTCTATTAAGCACCAGAAATCAGCAAATGAGAAATTCAAAAATCGGGCTCTGTCAACTCCTAGCCATAGGTGTTTACTGCAAAACAAAACCAGCCCGAGCTCTCCATCATTTACCTGGAATGAAAAACCTTGCACGTGGTAGACGCCTAATTTTGGCCCTTGTTGTGGCACCCTCCCATGAACAGTTGTAAGTGGCACCAAAAAAATTTCGTCACCACTCTTTAACATGATCAATATTCCCTGAAAGTTTGGTTCAGATCAGACCTACCTGGGCTGAGATAGGTTTTGGACCTGGGAGCGGCCTTAAAAGAAACATTTGTACCGATTGACTCAACTCTTATGTAATGACTATGACAACTGTATCATTGCCATATTCTTCCTTTTATGTCTAGATGCATTGTGTGTTAGCCAAGTTCCTTCCAATACAATTGTCCAAAATACAAAAAAAGTTTATTCAAGTGAAAATTGGCAATCCAATTTATCGTTGACCAACTTACCTGCGTTTTTTCAATCCACCAACACTATTATCCAATTATCTCACCTTCAGTCACCTTACTCTATTCCTCGACAGTTTCTTGAGACGAATCTACATCAGTTATACTTTACTAATCCACGTCAGCATCTATCGAAAAATATTCTTCAATCAAACTCACGTGTATCAAAATATCATAATATAACATTTTTGCCAGAAGATTTCAACATTGATGAAACACAGCCTCGTCCAGAAGATGAGCTCAATGAAGCTGATCAGGCCGTTGTTGGAATATTTTCAACAATGGCTTTGAAAAGAATGAAGAGTATCTCACTAAAACTGTCAAACACAAATTTATTTCCACAACTCAATTACGAAGAATCAACATTTATCAGGTAAAGAGTGATCACATGTCCTGTATGAAACTTTTATATGTTTATGATGATACTTTTTAGGTATTTGAGATGGACAACTCACAACGTTTTTCAGCGCTTTTCAAAACACGTTTACGAATTACAAGAGCGTATGCATGCACTCATTAATCGTGGGGTTAGTACGTGAAAGAGCAGTTTTAAACTTGTTTCATAGTACCGAAGTTCCATATCATATTGATCTGAATAATAGCATGTTAACACTATTCATATATTCTGTGACTAGCCGAGTCAGTTTCCGCTAAAATATGAACGAACAACGGTATAGTAGCGACACATTATAACGACAAGACCTCATTACACATAATTGTGCTATAAACTAACAGTTCACTCTTCTCTCCTTGATGCAAAATTCTCTTTTGAATCACTACCATATTTTGTTTCTAAATAACAAATAAAATAATCTAAAGTACGCAGATTAGCTCTCGAAAAAAGGAAACCGAATGCCATTGCAGATCAGATGTCTGAATTTTTTTTAATTAATTTTCAGATCACAGATTATCCTGGCAATAATGCATCCGTTTCAGAAGTTTATGCTGGCCTTCGCGGTAAAAAGAGAACTTTAAAGAGAACTTAAAACTTTTTTCAAAATGTAGTGTTCATTTTTTTTACTTGTAGCTGCTATCCCAATGCACGTCAAAAATATGATTGCCGCATTTAAAAAGGTAAAACGTCTAACAAAAAAATTAGATAATCGAACATTTTCGTTTAAAACCATGACTTTTAGATTCCCGGTACGAATGAAATAAATGCTGAAGATTTTCAAAAGATGATGCTACATAGAGGAATGGATTATTACATGGTACGTTAGTTTAGCACAAACGACATGTATCTTCTTTTCTCACCATTATTCTATATTAGTTAAAATATTCCTGCATTCTTGTTAATGGTGAATGTTATCAAATATATCCGAATGGTCTTCAGTATACACGTCGATGGATGACTCAAATGCATGGAAAGAAAATGGTATCAAGAATGTTTGATTTTGCCAATAAATTTAATAATTTAAATCTCCACGAGCAAGAGCTCGCACTTATCTATCCAATAGTCCTATGCACTGATGGTAATCGAATAAATCTTTTTTTTCTAAAAGTCCTTGTAATTTCATTTTTTTCATTTAGATCATACTCTTGATGATCCAGAAACCGTTCGTTCAATTAAAGCTTGCTTCTCATATGCGCTCTACGCACAAATGTGTGTAACTAGAAAAGAACAGAATGCTAAAATGTTATTTGAACAACTTTTCAAAGTAAGTAAATATAAATATCAGAATTATACTATCAAAGACTTAAAAAGTGCTATAATTTTTCGAGTAAAAACTATAGAAAATAAATAGAAATTGTGTTCAAAATTTTACGACAAAAGTTTGCATGATATGACTATCGAAAGATGTTAAGATAAATCTTGTGATACGTTTTAATAACTTAGGTTCTTGAACTTCTAAATCCATTAAATGCAATCTACGAGAAATCAGTGGGAAGTCTGGTATTAGAAAGTAAGTTTCAAAAGTTGAAATTCTTCTGAAGTAAACTGTTCTGTTGAAATTAGATGATTCTCATTTTTAAATATGAATGATTCTATACAGTACTCATTTTCACGATTAGATCACAATTACAGTATCATTCAAAAAGTGTGCTTTCTTTGATACAAAAATGATCGAGTTTCATTACTTAAAGTGGTTGTTTATCTTTTTAATTTAGAAACTGATTAACTTCAACCACTATATTCATGATCGATTTGACAACATGTTTTTTTTTTTCATAAGATCTGAAGTATTTGCTCAAATTAAATACATTGTAAATTATTTTATGTTATGATTTCTTACATCGGTTTTTGATGTGTATTGTTGTTTATGTTTTACTCAAAGACCTAGTAATTAAGATTTCTTTTTCTATATTCCTTTCATAATGAGTATACAAGAACAGTTGTAAACTTTATCTTTATTTTCGAATAAAAAATTTGAGTTATTTTATTATTATTATTATTATTATTGTATTATGTTAATTTCGGTCTTTCTTTCTTTCTTTCTGTTTTCCATGTAATGAAATAAATATTTTTATTAATATGGCTCTCTCGAGGACTATATCAATGTTAGACTTTTTTTATCTAGAATGTCAGTCAATACAAAACGAAATTGATACAACAATTTCTGTTATATGATTTAAAAAGCATTATTTGAAGTTCATTTAGTAGAGACTCAAAAATATAGATCCTGAAGAAAGAAAGATATTTTTTGTGTTTATAGTCGAGGACATACGATATCTCCTTCCTCCTAAATAAAAATAAAATCGACTTTTAAGTTAAACATAGTCTATGATATAGTCAAGTGTTCTCGACAGTTTCGGTATATAAAACATAAAACTTCAAAAGGTATATAAAACATTTGGCCAAGAGCCCTAAAAACATAGTGATGTTGTGTTATGACGTTCCTGATTCAAATCGCGACTCAGTCATACTACGACCTTACCGATTTCATCGAAACTTTGTCTATTCAAGCTCAAATTTTTACCATAGACACTAGACACCCATACGCTGAGATGTTTTTTTGATTTAGTTCTCTAGAACCTCTTCTTGATGTTTGAGCAATTGGAGTCTAGAAGTCTCAAAATTTCGTTCTCCATGAATTTTATAAATCTCAACGTTACATCTTTGAAAAACGTCTCGGCATATCGAAGCCTCGTATTTGCGATATAAATATGAGCTCGTTTGGATAGTGTCGGTACGGTATGGGATACACTTAAATGGTGCTTATTTCGGAGAAGAAATATTAAATGGTACACCTCTCTCTTTTTCCATGTTCTTGGAAACCATAGAAAGCGATGTCCGATTGAGTTCAAATTCATACGAGAGATTTTCTTTTTTGGTGCTCTGTCTCTCGTATGAATTTGAACTCAATCGGACATCGCTTTCTACGGTTTTCAAGGAGGTGGAAAAAGAGGGTGCCCTTAACCATCATACAGTAAAAACCTTTTGTTACAAATTGAAGGAAAATGGGAACTAAGTTCAACTATGCTTTCACAGCAGGCATCTAGGCGAATATTTAGAGGAAAGTTAAACTGAGCAGTTCAACTTCGGTTATGTTTATTAATGATAAGCTTTGATTTATATGGCATCTTTTGCCGTGTAAACTTTAGTTAGAAAAACATTTGCAGTCAGAGACAATCATCTGAACTTTGTACAAATCATATTGAATTCATTTTTAATACTCATTTATGAACGTGCGATAACTACGTTAAGAGTTTTTCACAAGTAAACTGTACGTATAAAGATCTATTCTTATTCTAAGCGCTAAACATCAAGAATCATTAAAATGATATTAAAGGATCTTATGAACGAAAAAAATACAGAATCATATAATATATTCTTCGAAATGTTGTATTGCTGTGACGCTTTCGTTGTGACATTCAATTTTATGCTGGGTCAGAAATTTGGTATATCGAATTGTGATGTTCGAAGTAACTAATGATTATTTATTTCTAGATTTTTTATTATAGAAAATGTATTTATCAATTCCAATTTTGACCTGCCTCGTTGTTTTAGGTGGAGAAGAAGAGGACTGGGTAAAAGGAACAAACTCCTCTTATTTACGATCAAAGGTATGGTCAATTTGAAGTTGTCCTGTTGTAATGTGAAACTATACCACCTGGCATAACGATATGAAATGAGTATAGAATATTTGTTGGTGGAAGATGAAGTCGAATTGAAGATTGGTAAGTAGATATGTTCTTTCAGCATGGTGAAGGTGATGTAGAATCGTAGGAATAATAATGATTTTTTGATAACAAAAAGAGTATTGATGAATCAAATTCATACTTTGAGTAATCATTTTTTGTTATGTTTATCAAATAAATATGATCTCGATTGTTTTTTAAATGATTTATTATCGATTAAAGACAATTTATCTAATATTTTATATTTTCATAAAATTTATATTGCTATTGTTTTGTTTTCGTTTATAGATGTCTCCACCTTCGTCTTCGCAAAGATGATTGAATAAATCTGATAATATAAAATATCGATTACATCTTTGACACGGTTTCTTTCGATTGGTCGACATTCCTGGAAATAATAAATGTCATAAACAACAGACAACAACAACGACTTGGGGCATTCTTCTGTCGTGCACATTGATCATTATAAACATTTATAGACGTAGTCGATGAGTATCAACAACGAATAGAACTGTGAAAAAATTGAGACAAGAGCATTAAAAGAAGGATGCCTGTACTATAAAATTTGGCAGGCTACACATGTAAACCATTATAGTGATTTGTAAGCCAGCAGAACAGATGACTTTTCTTTGTTAGATACCAAGAAGTCACCTTCTTGGATCAGAAGTACCATTTGTGTGACACTTACACGACAGCCTGTGCAATAGCTGATCGTCTTCAGGCAGTGGTTTACAAAAATCACTTTAGTGGGTATCGTGTTTCAATCCAGGAAGTTGACTTCTTGGCATCTAACAAAGAAAAAACATCCTTTTTGCTGGCTTACAAGGCACTATAATGATTTACATGAATAGTTTACCAAGTTTTAAAGTATACCGTACTTTACGATTAGAAGAGAACGTTATATAACATTTTAAGTGGCATTGATAATGTCTTTCGCAGTTTTCGTATTGCTTTCCAGTGATCCGCTTTGTACCAAGCATAACTATTTCAAAGAGACTTATATTACATATGTAATCACTCAAGAAAACTGACACAAAAAAAGTGAGCTGAGTACTTGTAAAAAAAGTATTTAGATGTACTTTTTTTAATTTTGAAAGGTATATGAATCATGCATGAACTGTATAGCTCACTACATTTGATACGATTTGAGAAAGATTAGAAATCTTCGTTTGATACCTGACCATAAAATAAGATTTTATGAAAGTAGTGTAGTACATTCCTACAATAGTAATATTGGTTCAAACCGGCTTTGAATACATATATATATATATCATTTGTGAGTTTTTAGAATAACGAACGAGCAAAGTAAGTAATATGCGAATTTGACGTGATATGTCTTCTTATATGAGATCTTTCACAACAACAACAACAACAACAAAAGCCTTAATAAAAAATTTAAATAAAGCAGATGGATAATATAGTGACTAAAATTATTTTTCTATCTTCAATCAGGTCTATGTGCATTGATAAAATAGTCTAAATGTGTGTATATCCAATAAAAATAAAACAATAGCAGGTGTAACATGCCTGAATAATATGTCATAGAGCAGATGTTGTTAGCAAATAGCACTTAAAGTAGAAACATGCATTTCTTAAAAACTAAAATGGTAAATACAAAACTACTGGTTGTTGTTGTTTTTTTTTCATTTTTCTTGTTAGGAAATAATACAAAACGTCATCAAGCAGAAAGAATAGAAACTACATGTGTATGTTTCATCGTAAGTTAACAATTATTTGTAACTATTATTACCGTTCAATGTAGATGATTTTGTTGTTGATGAGGGTGATGTAGTTGGGTTATATTTACGATCTTTTGTTGCGGTAGTGCTTTTTTTCAAACCATAATGTTTGCATAATGTTTCGTGATCAAATTTATCTGATGAACGAATTAATTCATGACAATAATTACATTTCACATGGGATGATGAAGCAAATATATTTTCATCAGTTTTACTCATCTTTGAATTATTGTTTATATTTCTCGTTGTGAACATTGATGATGGATATTTTCGATTTTGTTTACAATTTGCTTCATGTTGTAGACGATTTTCAGACGATGTTAATGGACAAAAACAATATTGACATGATTCAAGACGATGATCAGCCATTGTTCGTCGTCGTAATCGCGTAGGAAAACTCGGTGATTGAGTTTGCTGTTTTTTAAATAAATAGTCTTGATTATTTTCATTATCTTCATTTTCTTCCTCTGAATCAAATCGAGTAAATGCCGATTGTGGTGGTGTTTGACGACGTTTTTTATTATTACCTAACCATTCAAAATGCATTTCATGTGCTTTTGAATTATTATTATTTAAATTTGTTCCAGTATTTATTTTTGTTCGATGTACAGTGGGCGATGATGGACGTCGTTGTGATGAACTACGTAAACGACTAGAATTTTGACGTGATGCATTTAAATTTGGAAAATGTACTCCATTATCCATCTCACTTGAACCATTAGCAAAATGATGCCAAAATAAATCATCATTAAAAAATTTTTCAAATACAGCTTTTGTTAGTATTTCAAACATTTCAAATGGATTTGATGATGTTGTACGATTGAACATGCTCGGAAATTTTCTTGAATCAAATGATGATGTTGTAACACTTTCATTATCATCATCGCCGTTTGTTGTTGTACTCTCGTTATCATTCATACTGAAAAAGAGATGACAAAAAATATGGATTTTGAAGTATTTTGATTCGTTAAAGTGGCTTCGAAAAAATATTCAAAAATTCGATTCTCGAGGTTGAGACACGTTTTGAGATATTTGTACTTTAATATCAATGCAAAACTGCTAATAAATGATGTTATCATCAACATCTTTTAAGAAACTTTTTGGATGCTTGGCGTTTTGTTTTTCGCGGGCTTCAAACTCCGGTAAGTAACTCACTTGAATGTTGTTCACATCTTAGAGAAATCTTACTAAAATTGTGAGATTCAAAAAGTATTAAGATCTGATAAGACTTTTCTAAGATTTTAGTACAACCTTGTCAAGATATCTGCGGCTTAATGAAAATTTTCTGCTGCTTTATAATCGTTCATGTAGAATAAATAAAATTAAGCTTAAAAGCAAAGAATGCAAATACAGACTATCTATTTGTTCTTCTGTCAAGATACTCGTTTACGAAAACGAACAGAGTTTCTCTTTCTCTAACTGATGTAGTGTGAAGCTGAGACGTTGGCGATACATTGTCATCGGTTCTTTTACTATTTTTTATTTGTAGGTAAAAGTTTTCATATTTGTGCCTGATACGCTTTTCTGCTGATATGCTGATATGCTTTTCAATACGATTGATTCATGATTTATTAAGAACTTTTGGATATTTTGTTCAAGTGCTGATAAATCTCTTTTACAGAGTTCTGATTTGAGTCCACTGTCCTCCATTGTTGAAATTGCAGCCGAAGAGATTCGAAGAACGAAAAGAAATTTCATATTTTTAGACGTCTACACTGTAGGGTTGGAAATCATTTATCGGAAATGCTCGGCGAATTTTGGCGACCAGGTTGTGTTGGGGTTGATCCCGCCCCCTCATGCTTTTGAGAAATTTCTGGTGAACGTCACCGATTCTGGGACCTTCCTACCGAAACTTCGCGCCACCACTGTCTCTACCTAAACCAACGTTCTTGATGGCATAGGCAGAATTGTGGCCTAAAGTGGAAACTGTCAAACCTGTTTTAAGAGAAATATGAATGTCTTTACGCGATGGTCTTATACCTACACTGATTGCAAAACAAAAAGATGAATAAGTATTTGGTCTAGAAATTCCTGGACAAATTTCTACTTTCTAGAAAATCGATCAAATTTCTATAAATAATTTCCAAGGAACTGGAAATTCGATACTGAATTTCCAGTTTATAGAAAATCAAAATCGAATTTTCAGTTCCTTGGAAATTATTTATAAAAATTCGATTGATTTTCTATAAACTGGAAAATCGTCGGGGATTTTCTAGTTTATAGAAAATTCTCCAGCGATTCTCCACCTTTATAGAAAATCGAATTCGTAGAAATTCAGGTCGATTTTCTTTAAGTAGAAAATCAATATTTTCTAGAAAGTTGGAAATTTGTTTAGGAATTTCTATAAACTAGAAAATTTCCGGCGATTTTCTATAAACTGGAAATTCATTCAAGATTACAGTGTATTCTTGAACGTTGACTTACAGTGTACACTCTCTTAATAGTTGTTGAACTTTGGGGAGAGAGATAATACGAACAAAGTCTTGAAGAAAAACTGAAAATGTAAAATTCAGTTGTATTTTTGGTATTACTTATATAGATGTAGAAGAAACTCTATAATTTAAATTTATATTATAGAACTCATGAAACCCTACTATTTCAGAAAAATAAAAGTTTGAAATGCGTGGAGATCTCGAGATTTTGCGTTTCCAGAAATTTTATAAGATTTGAAGCATTTGATTAACTTTAAATCTATAGAAATTATTAAAAAATTAATTAATTAATTAATTGATTAAATCAATTTCTATGGGTAATTTTTTCATGCTAAAATCGAACCCGAAACATGCATGTAGGCCAAATTTTTTATTTTTTCTGGAATAAAGAGTTTGATAAGCTCTATAATATATAATTTAAATTATAGAGTTAAAACACCGTCAACGATTATGTTATTTATCAGCAGTTTCGCAATGACATTAAAATACAAATATCTCTCTAAAAAAGACACGCATTTCGTAGATTTGACTACGACTCTTGCCCGATTCTAATTAATGCTTATACATGATTCACCTGGAAAAATTAGATTCCCAAGAGTCATCTTAAACCCTTGAAGAATGTTGAAAAAAATCTATAAGCATTCAGCAAGTCTAGTCGCAAAATTCTTATGGTTTTTTACGTTTAGGTGACTTTATACTCTTTTATTCTGACTATTGTGAGAATGCTTTTTAATTCGAACTTATCTGAATAATCTTAAAAGGTGTAAAACCAACAGTCAATTGTGTAGTTTCTATGGTCTTCTTTTAACAAAACACTATCTACGATTCTCGAGTTTTAAAGAGGCTTAGTTACTTGTTGGAAAAGTTGTTCTAGCAGAGTATAAACATGAGATAGCTAGATATAAATGTAACTGCAATAGCTCGGTAGAAGAAAGCACCGTCGGTAATGCACAATGAGTCGGTTTGAATCCTGAACAGAACGATTTTTTTTTTGACTTTTTTTGTTGTAGATTTATACTTTCTAAGGTGAGGACATTGTTCAAGGACTCATTTGTATTGGTCATCATTTTACAAAAAAATTTTTTGCCTGAGAATTCAGTAAGAAACTGATAAAAAGAATAGAAGAATTTTGGTTGATTCTTGCTGAATCTTTATGAATTTCTTACGACATTCTTATAAGATTCTCATACGAATCTTAACGAATTCTTACCATTTCTTAGCGAATCTTGCATAAGAATTAGATAGGAGCCATAAGTATCTTATCTACAACTAAATGGATATAAGAATCGATGTTCGAGAACTACGTTTTCAAATTTATATACACAAAAATGTGTTCTCCTAGATAGAATAGATCTCATCTCTGGCACCGACACTTTTATATAATATGGTACGTTTCACATGGATTAGTAACTTGTTATCAAATCAATTAATCTAACATCATCTTTCATGACGTTAAACTTAATTTACAACTTATAAAGATAAATAACTTGACAAAAATTGTTTACAATACGATATACAAATATTTATGAGCAAGAAACTAACCTCCAATTATTATTCCATTTGGGTCGAGTTCGATTTGTATATCTTGGTTGATGATGTGGCATTTTTCTTCGATCAGTTTTTATATTAAAATCAAATTCATCCGAATTCATTGTGGAATTATGTCGATCATTTTCACTTCCATCATCATCATCTGAATCATGTTCATCCGAAAAATCAAATAGAATATCATCATTCATCGATGTTCGAAATGAATCAAAAAATGAATAGGGAAATCTTGAATATCTCGAAAATGTATTGTCACCGGGCATTCGATGAAAACGAAATCGTGCATTATTATTATTATTATTATTTCCATTTGTTGTAAATGTAAAATGTGGTTGACCCGGATGATGAAAAGATGATGTAAATGTTTTATGATGATCATCATTTGTCGATTTTTTTTGTTGTGTTGAAGCAGATTTTGTTGTCGTAGTTGTAAATGGTTTTGTTGTTGTAACATCTGATTGTTGTAAATCATATGTTCGTCTTTTATCAGCATCACTCAATGTTTCATAAGCTTTATTAACTTCTTTAAATTTTTCTTCAGCACACGGTTGTGAATTTTTATCTGGATGCCATTCTCTGGCTTTTTTATAAAATGCTTTTTTAATTTCCGTATCATTTGCATTTTTTTTAACTCCCAAAATAGAATAAAAATCAAGTGTTTGAGCGACCATTGTATAATCTTGATTTTGTATATCGTAGTGTTATTTCATCGTCATATATTGTTTTAAAAAACAACAACAAACAACCGACTGTCTTAGATCGAATAAAATTTGTCTTCAAGTTTTCATGTATGTTGCCTTGTTATTAATTTTTTATTTTATTTTTTTTTTTTTTTTTTTAAATTTTATGAGTATAAAATAAAATTGTATTTTTTGTCCTTCATGGTACTTCTAGAATAGAGAGGAGAAAAAAAACACGAACGAGAATATATATATATATATATATATAGAAGTTGCAAACACACATTTCTTTGCATTTGTTCTTATGCTATCGAAGGTGTACAAACAAGAAAAGATTTCTGAACAATTCTCACCAATAGAAGAAAAAAAAAATTTTTTTTTCATTCATATATGCCGTGTGTATGCAATTGTTTAGGATAATAATGAAAAAAAACAAAAAACCAATGACAATGAACAAGTGAATAAATTTTTTTTTTTATAAAAAAAAGATGTAAATAATTGTCTGAAAAATGTTGACCGTATTGTTCTATAATCGATTTGTGTATAAAACTTAATTACATACCATAATGAAATTGAAAGAGTAGGAAGAAAGATAATGTTTCAATAGTAACAAAAAGAGTGGCAAAGTGAATCCATTTGATTCAAGATGAATTAATTTAGTTTTAAGTAACCTTAATTTTAAACATCAAACTTTAATTTTAAAAAAACAAACGACTTTAACCATCATGTGTACTTACTTCAATTTTTTTACAAGTCGTCTGATGAATAGAAAATACAAAAATCATCCTGTGCTAGTATTGAGCGAGAAATGATTGATTAATGTTTGAATAAAAAACCATCGAATTTTTGCGATTGAAAATCAGTTATAAATATACATAGCACACAAATTATTATCAACAACAGAAATGCATGTTTACTTTTTATTCAGATTACATCTATATTTTGTAGAAAATCTATTATTAATCATTACTTTCATGTTGTTAGAAGTTTTACGAACGTCTTCGTCCAGAATTTAAGACTATGCTCCTAGGTTCATGGTTATAGCAGCCGTAACAGACGACGCAATTATGCATATGACTAGGTAGGCGCCAGTTAAAAACTGGTGTTGGGGCATCCGGAAGATCACATCTCATTTGGTAGAAAAATGTTTGCTTTACAAAATGCACTTTTTAAAAAAATTCCAAAATTATTTCTAAAAAAGCTTAGAGCATTCTAAAATGTACCAGATCACGAAAAAAAACTGTTCGAACAGGTTTTGTTTTCGTAATTTAATGTATTTTCAAATCCTCTAAGTTTTTTTAGAAATAATTTTGGAATTTTTTTAAAAAGTGTATTTTGTAAAGCAAACATTTTTCTACAAAATGAGATGTTTCACAGCTTTGAGCAAAGCGTGATAACTGATGTATGGCAATTCTTCTGGATACCCCAACACCAGTTTTTAACTGGTGCATGCCTACATATGACACGACGGGATACCATAACTGAATCTTCAGTATGTCTATGGATTCAAACCAGGATGATCAACATCACTTCGATTGTGCTATCATGTCTATAAACATTTATAATTGAAGAAACTTTATATTTTGATATACATTGGTTGCCTAACATGGACAAGATTAGAGTATTTTTGAAAAGCTCATAGCTTGGTAATGACACAATATTTTTTCAAGCGGACAACAGTAGTTTTAACAATATTACTTGTACTTTTTTTGAAAGATGTAAAACATTAAAGAGAATTTTTAAACTTAGAATACACTTTGTGGCATTGATGCATCAGAAGTGAAAAACAGCAAAACATATAAACCACTATGCTCTACAAAATAAGGCCGTGTGATGGAAATACGTGACTTTTTTTATTGTAAGTGCTGTAGAGAGTATGAGGGGAGAATTGTAGTACTTTTATGTGCAATAGAGTCCAGACTAGTAAACCCGCCATTTATGGAAAAGTTTCTCCGCATATTTGCACTATCAGTATAGAAACCAAAATGCTAAGAAATAAACTCTGTATTGAATACAAGTTACTTAATAAGTCGTCGATTAGCTAAAAAAGCTTAGCATTCGAGAAAAGAGTAATTAACGTTTTTCTGGGTAAGGAAGTATGTTAATGAGTGGACGTCGAGGCTAATTGCATAGAGAATTGAGTCTTGAATATTTTTGATCTACGTAAGCATACATCAACGTGTTTTCTCAGAAAAATATTAATTACTCTTTTTCTTAGAAACTCATTAAGTTTCAAAAAGGATGAGTAGAATGCTTTACTCATGTAATCTGTAGCCAAGTATATATCATTACAAAACTATTTTGTATCATACCATTGCTTTACGGCTGGTTGCAGTGTCGCTGCCTGCTGTTTACGAACACTGTAAACAACAACAACTACGCTAACTGGAAATGGCACACTAAAATCACTGTAGTTAGCGTTTACGATTATGTTTAACCGTGTTAGAACCCTTAGACTGCTCATCTATCGTATCCAGATACTCAACTCAATTTTTAATAAAAAACCTACGTCCAGACTGGTCTTGCACGAAGGGAGAGAATTTTAGTAGTTAATTGCTAAACTCTTTTCTTTGTATGTTACTGTATTGATAGTAACAGATCCGAATGAGTTACGTTGATGAGAACCATTATTTTCAAAAAGAATTCTACTATTTTCACTTTAACGCTACGGAAGATTCTTGTTGGCAATAGAGTGTATTTCCATGCTGAACATAGATCTCTCCCTAATATAAAGGTGTTAACAAGTCTAAAATAACCTGCTCCTACTTATTCCAAAACATGACATTAGTTTTCAGATCAATTGATAGATAAAAGTCTTTTGTTAAAATACTAACTTGACTAAATTTTTCCTTCTTACATAATAAGATAGAACAAAAATTCTGTTAAGAAACAAACAAACACTCACTCAAACAAACACTCACAGAAAAAGATAAAAAAATAACCGCATATGGTGAATCAACAGAAGAAGAGAAAAAAAGAAAACAGTACGAGTAGATATGGAATGTCATACGATATTTTCTCAATAGACTTTTGTTGAATCAATTTTTAGAGAAGAAAAAACAAAAAAAAAAAGAATATGAATCTCATGATCATCTATTATCTTTTCAATGAACTATAGAATAATTGGGATGTACATTGATATATACATATGTTTTCAAACAAAATATGAGAAAATAATATTTGTAAGCGTGTGTTATACATCGAAAGTAATTAATAGACATAACGCACGGTACTTTGTCAGCAAGCAAAAATAAACAAACTAATCATAATCTTGACACGAATTATATTTCACATACTTTTATTCCATTAGAGATGAGAAAATCAATCCACTATTTTCAATAATGATGCATGTCGTGAACTTTTGAATGTCAAAATGAATATATGTTGTTCATTACATTACTTTATCAAAAGAAAACATGTGATACTAGAAAATTTTTAAAAATTAGAACAAAATCTTCACAGATACTTGCAGACAAGTATAATTTCGTTAAAAATAGAACATGTTACGTGTATACAATACATATATATATATATATATATACAGAGAGATCAAGAGGTGGAATGTGATCAAATGAACCTTCACGACAACATTCTAGGTTAACCACATATGTACAAGCAGTTTTGATATCAAATTTAAAAAGAATGTTGAATAAGATAGATTGATTTATATATATCTATACATGTATTTATTTTTTTTGCATTTATGTAGTATGTGACGGAAATATAATTCCTAAAATTTTTTGAATATTACGCGACAAGGAAGGTATCTTGGAAAGATGATATGAAGAAAAAAAATTTAAAACAAACAAGACGTTCTCATGGCGTTTGAATATTGGCATAAAAATTTAAATTTAATTCCGTTTTTTTTTTATTTGTTTTTTTTTTGTTTTCAAAATGAGAATAATAAAATTGAAAATGGAAATAGAGAAACCAATATTCCATGTTTGAGAGATCAACTATATTATACGCTTAGTGAGCCAATGTTTTCTTTTCTTTTTTTCACTTTGTATACATATGATCTGAATCGGATCAATGTATCTACACAAACATATAGTTATTTTTATTGTAAAATTAAAATCAAACTTAAGTATTTGTGCCAGAAATAAAAATAATATAAATGTTTTTTTATAACCGAAATTCTCTTTATATCTTGTACGTGAAATTGTGCTTATTATTACGTAATATAGTATATTAACAGAGAGAGAGAGAACGAAACATTATTATCCTACACGAAGTGTGTTTTTTTTCGTACACGTGCATGTCTTTGTTCCTGAATGTTGTAAGATAAATAAAAAAAAAAAATGAAATTTTGTATGCAATATCACTTACCATATCAATGATAATATTCATAAAATATAAGACAAACTTAGTCAATCTAAATGATAATGTGCAAATATAAAAGAAAAATAGAAATAGCTCATCCACTTTACACATTTAAATCTAAATATTAGAACCATTGCAGACAAATAGAGTAAGAGTCTATAAAAATAATAAAAATGAAAATATTGTTTATTAATCTCATTCAAGAGCTACAAGTCAGTATGTTTGAAGAATAGTTGATTTGAACAAAGAATCAAATAAAAGTATATCAGTAAAAAATGAATAATTTCAAATCCGTCACAAATATATTTGATATTTACAAAAACTTCAATAATCAAGTGTTCTTAGTTTAAAGAATATTTCGGTTACAGAACTGAATTTTCAGTATGTATAAATAATGTCAACATATTTCGCTTCTTCAGCTCATAAATTTTTCTTCCAACTTCATTTAAATCGAAAAATTTAATAATCGTACTATTATTATTATTTTGTTTTAATCAGTCAATTACTTCTTACTTTTAATTTGGAACGTCACAGGAGAAAAAGAATAAAAATGAATGATTAGTACGAGAAAAAATTTTTGTACTAACTAAAAAACTTTATTTTATTTTAATAAAAAGAAAAGACGAAAAAGAAGAAACGATTCATTTCCTTTTTCCCATTTGTGCGTGCGAACGTGTGTGTGTGTGTATGTATATACGAAGGACAAAGTCAATAACGACAAGAGTTTCGAATAAAAAAAGAAAAAAAACTCAATATCAACAAAACTTTCTGGAAGTATAAAAAAACTGAAAGCATAAATATTCTAATAAATACTTTTAAAAGAAGAAAAAAAAGTGAGAAATAAGTGTTATATACTATCAATAGAAAAATTAGTTTATTCTATAATTGTCTTTTTTCTCTTGACTGTAATATATATAAGTGTTTGTTATTCAATAAAAAAAACGATGGATAGATCCTAAAAAAAATAAATAAAAGTATGTGGATTCTGTTATCATAAAAAGACAGAAACAATATGTCGATATTATCGCAAAACTGATGTTTGACAATAAACTTGAACTAATATAACAGCTAGATCATTTCGGTTATATAAAATGTAAAGAAAAGAATATGTTACGCTATTTTCTGTTATACAACTAGTCAATCGTTTAGTTCTTCAATTCTCTTCTTATTGATCATATACTACCATTTAATATTTACATTCAAATCACACACTGTTTTGTCAGAGAATATGATCCATTCTATTCATCGATGTCAAGAGTGTAGCTCGAACTATAGAGTAGGATGTTTTTTTATAATTGGGAATTTTTTTGTCAGACAAGTCCCGAATAGGGTTAAAAATATAAATTTATTCCACATTTTTTCCAGTTACACGTTAAAAAGAATAATTATTATAAAGATGAAAGCATTCAACAGTTCGAGAAAACGTTGATCAAATAAACTTTCATTTTTCTGCTGAATCTTTAAGAAATACATGTGTTCTTCTTTTAGGAGATTACGATCTATGCATCTTTTTTTTTCCCGCCCTTCTAAAGAAGAAAGACGTACTAAAATGAACAAAAAATACGTGATTTTTATTTATGAACTTCAACTTCTCTGTTTCTGACAAACTCGATATCGAGAAGTTTTACGAAAAATATTTTGCTGAGAAAACGACAAAATGTCTCAAAAAGCAAAGTACAACTTATTCTCCTTCACTTTTTATCCCTCTGACAGAAGTACCTTAATGAGATATCTTTTGTTCATTTTATGCACTTGTACGTATTGCTTAAAAGAAATGAAGAGGTCACAGAAATAATACACAATAAGTGTCTTCTAAACGTAACACTTTTCCAGTTTCATTTGAGTGACGAACGTCCAATATTATAGAAAATATGAATCTGGACGAATAAGAGCTATGTCAGGAATTCGCCTGAATACACCCTCAAGAGGTGCATACTGTAAAAATCTTTTGCTCTTCCATAAGTCATTAAACAGTAAAATGAGAAAAAATTTTCGATAAGTTCTATATGGAACAACAATGACAACCAACATACCGCAAAATCTTTTTCACGTCCTTACTAAATTTATTTGAGATTATCCATCCTTTCGCATAACTATGCAAGCATTTTAGTGTTAAACAAAGTGAAGTCTTCCATAAAGTAAATATAAGCACAGACATGTCTATGAATAATGTTCCAAAAAAAGGAAAAAATCTTTTCTTTTGAGCTAAAAGCACTATTATTCCAGACAGCAAAAAAACACGATCAAAGTTTATTTACAGAAAAGAAAACAAAATAAACTTAGAGTTCTTAGAAAAGAAATTTTTTATTGTGGGAAAAAGTAAAACAAGACTATTTGAGCCATGCATTTTGTGTATCCATCGTATATAAGCTGTTATGACTTTTTTTGATTGACAGTACTATATTAATAAAAAAGGTATATATAGAAACGTATGCATGTTCGACATGTTGTGACAGGAAAAAAAGGAACAAGCCACTCAGACAGCTTATTTATCCTTAGACTAGATTTTATTTCACATAATATTATCATTGATTTTTGACAATAAAAATCTATGCATTCTGTTCCGTTGTGACTCTCCTGTCATGGAAACCACCTCTAATCACTTTTGTCGCTATATTAGCAAGAATTACTCACAGGACCTGATCAGTTGACTAATGTATACAAGTTATTTTCTATAAAAATCTGTTTTCCTAAACAGAAAATAAAACATTAAATATCATCTACTATCCATAAGCGAAAGGACATCGCTAGTGGCGCCCAGAATAAAAACCAAACTATATATAAATAAGCTCTGTGTGATATCTAAATTGTTTGATACCAGAAATATTTTATATTTTTATCAAAAACCTATTGCAGATGGATTGTGAATTAACAACTTAAAAGTTTGTATCTGACACTTGCCAAAAAACATCGTTGTGAAGGCACACATCTCAAATACCATGGTCGTCTATTTTGACATTGTCAAAAAATCGTAATAATAATAAGCATCAACTTTTGAAATTAATCTTTATTTATGATCTACAACTTTATTTGATTTAACCACAATTGTAACATGTGTTTTTAAAAATCTGGCAGCCTTAACATCCATGAGACCATATGAAATGGAGCTAGCAGATGTTTTTCTCTTTCTATCCACGACAGTCTCTCCCTGAGTGCAGATCACAGAAGTCGAATTCTCTGCAGCATTCAAAACTGTACAACTCTCTTTGAAACTAATAGAATATCTTTCTGCCTTTTACCACTACTGAGCGAAAGTAAGTGACTTCTGTCAATCACTGAACATCATTATTCAAAATCAAGGTCGTTTTTAAGATTAGAGGTTGGAACACGGTCATTTTACAATGGTTTAAGTTTGATTGATAAACTCATTTTGCTTATTTTAGATCTATTTTTTCCTTCTTGTTATGGAACAGTGTACTACATTATCTTTTATCATGATTTTGTCGCAATTTGTTTTTTTTGGCACGGATTTTCATTTTTTAAAACCAGTTTTGTACTTTTTTGATTATTAATTATTTATCCCGAATTTTTTACATTTATTATTATTATTATTGATCATGTATGACAAACCATGCTCGAACCAGAAACAGGTGTGTAATTAGATAACGCGATGTGAAATTGATGGACTGTTCAAACCGGGTCAAATTTTCCCTATAAGAGATAGCTATACATTTCCAGAAATAACTCTGCCTTAGCCTTTTTCTCTTTAGAAGAGATGAAACCTTGGTGTTTTTCTGAATCTCCTTCGTAGACCTTGTACTTAAGTTAAGCTACACCGTATGGCAAATTTTTTCGAGTTCTATAGCTTCTACGTCTACAACCAGAGTATCAGAAAATAGACGTGTTTGTGATTGTTAATGTCAAACTTTTATTTATTTGTTTATTTAGACACGAAACGTACAGCTGAGTTAGAAACTACAGTTAGAACTCTCCAAGAAGAAAATGAGAGGCTACAAAAATTACTACGTGCTCGTAAGTATAAAATAATTAATTTTTCCATCTCTTTATTTATTTCATCCTTTTCTTTCTATGTTAAGATGCTCTTAGTATTGATCCGCACTCTAAAGTGCCATTATCGCAAAATGTTCCATTCCATAAAGAGAATATACACGACGATAATTGTTCAACTCCTCCCACAACTTCATCTAAAATTGGCAGCAATTATTCGGTTGACGATGATCCAACAACAACAACTTCTAGTCCGAGACCTTCTTCATCATCTAACAATATCAACAATGGTGGAATCAGTTTCGAACATTCAGATATAACTCTTAATCAGAGTACACTGAATACAAACAATCAAACATCAACTCAAAATGTAAATTTAAATAATTTAGGACCAACCAATCAGCAGAACTATGTTGGACAAACAGTCCTAGGGGGTCAATCGAATATAACACCAAATTTTAACACAATAATACAAACAAATACAACACCATTTGTTCAAAATAACTCCAATACATTAGTACAAAATAATACAAATTTAATACAACCAATTAATCTCGTTAATTTTAACAGTGTTAGTTTAGACTCATTCCATTCATTAAATTCGTTTCAACAACAACTTCAACAACATGCAGGTGGTAGTCTATTTTTTGCACCAAATGGTGTTGTTTACGTTTCATCAACATCACAAATTGGTTCAACGTCAACAATAACAAGTTCTGTAATAAATACAAGCAGTACATCAATATCAAATATAACAGCAACAACGCACAAAAATGAAATTGCCGATCGTTCTTCTCCTTCGTTAATTCAAAAGTCATCGTCGCCAAATTTACCTGATACACAAGTATCGTTTTCAAAATTTATTCAAAATAACTTTCTTGATACAAATTCAACATTTTCAAATACACATAGTATTTTACCATCTTTGCCGACCACAACGAATCAGATAAACGATCAAAATAAATATTATTTTTGTCAACAAAAACAACCAAATGAACCCATTCTCACAAATGCAATCTCATATTCTTCTACTACTTCACCGACGATTACGACAAATACACCAACAGCAATTAGTACTACTACCACAGCATCACAATCGATCCGACCAAGGCCGATCGCCGTCTCATCCGCGAATGATATTGAGGGAAAATCAGTTGATGTACATATGTCAAATGGAAATTCAAATAACGACACAAAAGACGATTCTCAAGCAAACGCGATGGGAAATGATGCTAATACACAGAAACAAAAACAACCGCGGCCAATAAGACCTAAACCGTCATCCAGAGCGAACTCTGTACAGGTAAAGTAATGGATTCTGATTTTTGGAACAGAGACTGTAAACTTTTTAGTATACCTAATTGATTTGTGTTAGAATATTTATCTTGAGATTCTGTTAAATTGTGATAAGTGTCAGATGAACATTAAACGATATGACGGTCAACATAAATACATAATACCTTAAGTTTCTGCACTTGCATTGATTTGTTCTGTTTTTTTCCTTTCTAGGTTTATACACCAATAATTATCAATGACATGAAGCCAACAAATTATATGCAGCCAAATATGCAACCGATTAGTGTATCACATCAGATTCCCATACTTCCGTCGAATACACAATCGAGTACATCAAATTATGGTACACCAGTACTCGTCCATTCTAACAGCCAACCGTTATCGTCTACAACGACAAATCTTCCAGTATTATCACCGTCAACGGAAAATTCTAAAACAGCAAACTTATTACCGTTTGAAGGAACATCGACAAAGTTATTGCCTATGAGTAATACTAATAACAGTAATATCACTATTTCAACAAATAACACACTTATCCGACCAAAATCTGTTGATGTTGGTAGTTTATCATCAATAACGTCAAATAATACAAATAACATTTTAACATCAAGTTCATTATCTTCAGTGTCAATTAATACGTTACCAACAACTGTAAGAAACTCAACATCAACAACGGTGAGCACTTCGTCATGTAAAGTGAAAAATGGAAAAGTACTACGCACTCGTACAGGCTCAACAACATCAAATCGGGGTCGGAAAAAAGCAGTTGATACGAGTAATACCACAATAACCACCACAGTAGAATCACAATTATTACCGATGCAATCTAAAACATCTGCTCCTGCACTTGTTCAAATAGCACCGAATCTACAACGAACGCTTAGCACTCCAGGTATGCGACCATTAGCACCTGCTATTCCGGGTACAAATCAAAATCGATCATCGATGCCTAATACTACAACAACAATAAGCAAGAAAACTACAAAAAAGAAAAATCTATCAAATTCTACAAAACAATCGAAAACGATTGTACAATATCATAGTGAAAGTGTTCTATCAACTAATTCTGCCCTTAAAACATTTCAAACAAATTCTCTCGTACCATCACGTCCGTCTTCTGTACAAGATTCATCTAACATAGTTTTGCCTTTAACACAATCACTTACATCTCCACAACAACAAGACGTTTTCCAAGAAGAAGCTGCAAAACTCTTTCAAAAATTAAATCAAGACATTTTATCGACAAATTTGATTGCACCAGAGCAACAACAAAGTGGTAATTTGTTGTCGACTGAAATAGGTTCTAAAGATACATCGATCAGTTTACAACATCAACAATCATGGACATCGTATTCAGCACAACAAAGTATCGAGCATTCTTGCTCATCTCCAACTACGATAACAAAAAATCGTCAAAGTCTTGATCAAATTGATGTTAGACGTATTGTGACAAATACATTATGTGAAACCAACAACATTCTGACACCATCAAATACTCTTCGACAGCGTGCAACGGAGTCTACATTTCAAACGATGTTAAATAATAATCGTCCCATTCAGGTGCAGAATATTTATCCTCAAAGCACGTCGACGACTAGTATGCCGACATTAGAGGAATTTTTTAATTCGAATGAACATGTTGTCGATTTTGAAAATTTTGATGTTGCAGCATTAACAGCAACGGAAGGTTTGAGGAATGATTACGGTGTTAGCGATCAATTAAACATTTTGTCAGCGACAACAACTGCTGATACATTGAGAGCAGAAGTAAATAATATGAAAAAACTTGATAACATTGTAGAAGATAATGTTAATTATGCTGGAAGCGACGTTGAGAATGAATGTGATGATGATGGGGTGGTCGATGATGATGATGTAATTATCAATTCATTTAGCGAACAAACATTTGAAGATTTAGCAGAACATTTTGATTTGGAACAAGTTAAAGCAACGTTTAATCAGTTAGGTGTCGATAATAATGATACGACACTAGCGAATTTAATAGAGAATGTGAACGATGATACATCCATTGTTGATAAAGAGCAAGTGCAACATATTGAACAGTTTTTACAAGGTACAGCATGCGTGAGAATATGTTAACTAATTTTAGAGTCTTCTGATGGAGGTCTTTATAGAGATAGATTGACCACTGTTAGACACGTTGTATTTGAGATTTATTTAAAATCGAATCTCGTATGATAACGACTAATCTAGATTTTCTTCCCTGGGTGGGCAATCTAAGGTTCAAGAGGCAAAAATTTTCATTCATGATGCGAGAATCCTAAAATTTCGGGTCAATACCGCTCACTCGGGTCATACGGTAGATGAATCTGTGTCTGTTGCATAATCTGAACAACCGAAGAAATCTCTATGCATGATATCTAAAACGCCTGTTATATTGAAACTTTTCTATACTAATTATTATAAATTTATTTGTAGAATTTCAAGGAGCAGATAATTTGTTACAACAATTAACGACAAACGATAATTCAATGTATTATTTTGGGGATCAACATTCGAATTTTAATAATCATCATCAAAAATCGTCATTAATGAACAATAGTATATCAGTGACAACTGTTCCATTACAGACAACGATCGAATACACTCCACAATTTCAGCCAACGACATGGTACAATTCAACACCCACGGCTACTCGATTAATGCCTGACGAAGGAACACAATTAAAACCTATTAACATTGAACCATTAGCATTTCAAGAAATTCTCAATGATTTACAAAGATCGGTCCAACCAGTTGTCCATCAGACATTGTACTCGCACCAGCAACCATCATCTCTTACGTCTTCTCCACATGGGCCAAATATTATCTCTCAAGATTATCCTTATTTAATACCATCTACTAATATTCAACCAGCTATTATTAAAACACCATTAGCTAGTTATTCATCTTTCATTGAGTCAAATACAGCTCCGCCAACTATTTTGACTGTACCATTATTAACAAGTAACGACTTAATACCAAATTCTGGTCAAATAATTATTCAGGAAGAGTCTTCATCTTACACGTATAATGTCGATAATCTTGATGTACAACTTAGTTATTTTCAAGAACAACAAGATCTATTACAAAAACAATTGGAAGAATGTCAAACGTTAGAATTTCAACCGGATCAGTTAGAGCTTAATGAGCAAAATACTACTGCCATTGAATTAAGCAATGAGGAACAACAACAACAAACCGCATCGATTACAAATGCTGTAAACCATTTTGTTCAGGAACAAATATTAACGCCATCACAGCTTGTACAATCATGTTCATCACAATCATCCCCTAATAATCGTTTAGAATCGCCAAGACATCGTGAACAACATAAATTAAATTCACCGTTACCACGTCCGTCTTCGCAGCCAATACCAGTTACATCAAAATCTTCATACAGTGGTTCACCAAAATTCCAAAACGCATGCAAAATAACGTCTTCGTCTCCTGTTAAAATCTCCAATCAAGAGCAACAGTCTACTGTTATACATGATGAAATGGATTTTTGTTGGTCAACAAACGGTGACCAAAAAGAAGAACGAAATTCTTCATTTGACCAATTTTCTGTTGATCAAAATTCAACAAATGTTGCAACCTCATTTTTACAATTTGATCCAACGACTACTTCGTCGTTTGAACAACAATGTTACCAGAATCATGATCAAGCAGAAGAAACTGCAACAACTATGCAAATTGATTTTATCGAAAATGTCGATTCAAAAGTGCAAACAACAGAAAAAAAATCAGACAATCTATTTGAGAGCATTTCCGATAAAGACAAAGATTCGTCCCCACCTCATAATCAAATTACAATATTACCGACGGCATTCGATGTTGATACTTTTTCATCGCCCTATTCAACAGCTGCCTCTAATTCGGCCATATGTAATCGTTCTCTATACTACTTTGATCGTAAAGAATTGACAACTCCTATTCGTGTAACATCTACATTAAAAACAATAAATCAGGAATTATCATCCTTAAATCAACCATTGTTATCCTCGCAAGATCATGAAACAAGTTTGAATTCATCAAGTACACTAATCGATATTGATTCGTTATTAACACCCACAAAAGGGTCTGAGCCTGTTAAATCGTCATTATTTTGTCAAACAGACAAAGAGGATGCATCCGATACCGTCTCCTATTCTCCTATTTCAGATACAATGGGTACATCTGTATTTACTCATCACGCAGCAACTAGTCCGGTGGTTTTGTCACCGTCTGTTGTTTCAACGCAATCATCATCGTCAACAGTTATACAACCGACTACAACAGAAGCTATGTCGAAAATACCACATAAACCTTGTATTATATTTGAACCAATATCTTCACCGTCAAGTGCATCGTCACCAAATCATTCTCCATTGAAATATAGTAGCATCAGTAGTAATTGTGCCGATGATAATAACGATTCACCGCATCGTTCCGTACTGTGTACATCATTTTTAAACAATACAACAGATAGTTTGCTACCGTTATTATCAACAGATGATTTAGTCAAACAAAATTGTGACAATAATAAATTGTTTTTTACAAATTCCCCAAACCATGAACGTTTACCGCCTGAAACGGCAGATAACGACGGGATTTTAATTGTTGAAGAAGTGGGCAAAATAACCGATATATGTACAAAACGAATGAATTTTGTACAAACTGAATCAAATTCGAATAGTGATGACGATTTAGAACAGTTATTATTAGAATCAAATCAGCAACAACCTCACCAATGTAACACTGATGATAATGAAACTATTGATTTAACTAACAGTATTATAGAAACACAAGGAGTTATTATTGATGGTGATTCAAAACCATCGATTAGTTTTTCTGTTGATGATATTGATTCATTGGTTGATCAATTAGAAAATGACAGAACCATTGATGAACTGACAAATTTAAAACGGAAGTCAATATCAATAACATCGCCACTTATTTTGCCATCGGATGATGAAAATGAAGTATGTACCACAGCCAAAAAGAAACGTCGTTTAACAATAAGAACGAGTACAGACTCAATTAAACATTCATCTCTTCCGCTAATGGATAGTTTTTATAGTCCGGTATCTATGGACGAAAATGAGCATGAACAAATAACGACAACAGCTACTACTATGATCAATAAACGTCAACCATTAGAAAATATTTATTTACGTTATCGTAGTCAACATTTTATTAATCAAGTAAGAAGCGTCAATTTGAGCATTGTTAATCTTCGTAAAACGGATTCTCAACTTGGTGAATTAGAAGTTGAATTAGTCCAAAATTCTGACTATCCATCGTTGATTACAACCAATGAAAAAGAACAAAACGATAATCAGCAACAGTTGATCATTGAACAAAAAGTGAGTAAAACAGTCATTTGCGCACACCCTAAACGTATCTTCAACTATCTTTAAACATGTTTGTTTCTTACTAGGGATCTTTGCCAGAAAATAAGCCAATTGAACAAATGCATATATCACTAAAAGACAATGCAGTATTAGTTCATGAACAAAATTCCACGTGTAAAAGGACAGAAAGAAGACATAAAAAGAGCAAACGTTCACTAAAAATTGATGAAATACCAAACGATGATATTAAAGTAGATGAACAGTACACAAGTTCACCGACTATTAAACTAAAATTTAAACAAGATGCGACAACTGAAAAAGTCACAAATATTTCAGAGGCATCGACAGCAATGAACAAAAAGAAAGAAATCTCTGTTAGCGATGTAAGTTAGAGAAAGCTCTAAGTGTGTTGAGAGTATTATTTTCTAATTATACTACTCGAAGTAGTTGAATTAGAAACATGCTGGTTTTCCCATTTCTGAATATCTTATTTAATTTTAGGTTAACTGTACAATTTTACATGAAGAAAAAGAAATAAAAACCGCTAATATTGATAACCATCTGAATAAGAAACATAAGTCATCAAGAAAACGCGATAAAAAAGGACATCATACTGACACAATGGTACTCAATCAACACTTGACTTATTATCATACTCCGTCTCAGATAGTTGAAAAAGAGAGAGAACAACCATTGTTGACTGAATCAAATCCATTTGATTTATACGTATTTGAAAAACATGATCATGAAATGACTGAATTAAACGAAACATTGACAGCAATACCGAATCATTCGTCCTTGTATAATTCGGTTAAACGTCGTTCAAAGAAATCAAATAAAAAACGTCAACAACAACCGGTGGATAATGAAAATGAATCATACAGTAGAGAATCAACGAATTATGCTGATTTAGAAACTGTGAAATTTACAATAGCGTCGCCAGTCCCATCCAGTGAACCCACCGACCGACCACCTCTACGTATAACAATTCGAAAGAAAGAAACACTATCACGACCATCAACGAGACATGGCCCATCGTCGACAACGACTGTGGCAGAAATAATTCATGTTGAACATCCTGATTGTAACTTAGGAACAGTATTAGTTTCACCATCGCCAAAAATAACAAAGAAAAGATCAAATACTAAAAAGATTGTGATCAAGGAAATGAAGGAGAGTGATCATGTTCAAATACAAAATCATGTAAGTATTTTTCTTAGTTGAACTTGAAGTAAACATCCCTTATTTACCGTTCTGTGTAAAAATTCATATTAATTAAACTGAAGTTATCGACCGGCAGCACTATTGAATTCATAAGTATTTAAGATTAGGTCTACTAGTAGCAATGGATACTGGCATTACTGAATCCAATCAGCCAGTGGTACGAGTGGTCGCTCGTACCTTTGGAGGAAAAAAATGATTTGTTGATTGTCTAAAAAAGTTTGTGTTTCTATGGCGTTCACACGTAATTCATACTTTCATTGCCTACTGCATGTATCTTAGAAAAGTTCGTAATCTACCATTGGATAACGGTTCTCCTTTTGGATCATTTTTTAGGAGACATTAACTAATGGAACAGTCACTTCAAGTCAACCTGATGAATTTGTGCAAAACAACGTGGATGATGATGAAAAAAATTCACTTTTGTCTGAAACACCTACGGGTTTGAAGACAAAAGCTAAAAAATCAAAAACATCTCGTCAGCGTCGCGGTAAAAGTAACCGTAGTCATCAGTCGAAACGTTCAACAAAAACAAAAGATCAGTTTGAAAATGAAGACAATAATAAAGCGATAACAACTGAATATGCTGGATTAACAAGATTTGAAGCACAAATGTTCAACTGGGCTCAAAAACCAACTACACAACAACCGCATACAATTGAACGTGATGATGGAAATATACATAACAGTGATAGTGATGTGATATTAATTAATTCACCTGCGCAATCGCCTTTTATACAACAAAAACTCAAACCAAAAGAAGAATTGAAAAGAAACGATGATATTAAGTCACCGTCAATTATTGCTAAGTCTAATGAACAACCAATCGATACTATTACTTCTACTGTTAATGTAGAGACAAAAATAACAGATAATCTTCCAGAAACAAAGTGTATTGAAACTATTGAAAAAGAAGTATGTTCAAGTAGTAATGATTCACATCCACACTCACAAGAAAAAACGATATCTCGTACAACCACACCTCGAGCACAAATCGCTCTAGAAACACCTTCATCTGTTGCTTCACCGGCGCAACTGTTACCACCTCCACCTTTGATTCATATTGAAGATAATCATTGTCAAGAATTACCATTAACAACATCAGCGTGTATTGCAGCATTTCCAGCCACTCAATATTCATCTGTTTCTAATAAATTATTAGCTAATTGTGATAAACGTTTGAATGATGAACTAACCGCTTTAGCTACGAAACAAAATAAAAATAATGATGTTGATAATTTTGTATACCACCCACATCCGAAACAAAAAGCGAAAAATTATCCTCGTCTATTAGATGCTGAACATTTTTCAACATTAAGTCCAACAACGCCACCATTACCAATAAACCATACAAAATCCCAATATCCTATCAAAAATAGTTCGCATTCTGAGCAGTTGTCGTCGTCTCATGGAAACTATTGTAGTTTTACGAATAGATCCAAATCGCCACCTAAAACACCTACATCTTTCTCTCCAAGTAAAAAATCGTCATCATCGTCGTCATCATCGTCATCATCCACATCTCATCGTGAAAGTAATAACAAAACTTCTCAAAGTACTAATAATTCTTCCTCTTCAAATAAATCCTCATCTCACAGATCATCAGAGAAGAGAGATCATACATCTAATTCAAATACTAGTTATCAGTCATCTTCTCAAGAGCAACAGCAACAGCCACAGCCTTCGTGCCGTTTTCCAAAATCGAAAGGTAATACAAATTATTATCATCCATTTCCAACTCCTTTTCCTTTACCCACCGATATGGCATCGTCGTATTTTACCAATAATCTTGTACAAAGTGCTTCAATAGCGGCTGCTCAACAACAACAACAGCAGCAGAATAATAATCACAGTAACAGCTACAGTCGTCACAATAATGATAATCACCATCATTCTCGAAAAAATCAAACATCATCATCCCACCATCGTAAAACGTCAAATGAACCATCATCACGTAATCCATTTTCTAGTCATTCACGTTCATCTTCATCCTACATAACTGGCCCACCACATTCATTTGAACAACATCACCATAATCCATCCATGATTGCTGATTTTCATTCATCACATTTTTTGCCAAGAGCACTTATGGACGAACATAATATAGCGGCTACAATGTATAATGCTGCTGCATTTCAAGCTGCAGCATTCGGTTTCAATGCTCTTAATGATACACCATCGTCACCAAATGTTGATACATTGTTTCATCATCCGTCAATGAAATTTTCAAACAATCATCATCCATATCCATTATTAGCTTCACATCATCATCATCCATCAATGCGTGCAGCTGCACAACAATTTGGTTCTGGTTTCATGTGTAAGTATAATGATTCTTTTAAGTATAAAAGACGAAACAAATTTCGAAATTAAAAAATCTAATTAATAATTGGATTATTTATTCGCAATTACATCAATAAAACTTCTTAAATCATCGAAACAACGATGACATGAAACAAGTTTCAGGGTACGAATACGGTTGAAACAAATATCTAACATTTTGTTTGCTTTTGAATACTAATGATATGTCTAGATATTTGGTTTGTGGAATATTCGAAAAAAAAAAATACTAAATTAGATCGAGAAATATGCTGACTAACCTCACGCTTTATGTTTAACATAAAAAAGCGAATTCAAATTTAAATAGTATATATTTATTTTGAGAATTGAGTGTATTTTTTTGCTATTAATTAAATAAAAATTAATTATTAATTTATTATCATTGTTATTTTTTATTTATTTTTAGCCTCTCGTGATCATAATACATTCGACATATAGATTGAAGAATAAATAAATAACGAATATCGAATTAGACAATCTAACAGAGCAGATAATTGAAAAGGAAAATTTCTTTTTTATTTTGTTTTTCCTGTAATTATTAATTTTGACGCAAGGTAATATTTACAAAAAAATGTATTATTCAAAGCAAATCAATTTTTTTTTGTTTATTAATTTTTTTGTGTGTGTTAATGTGTCATGTTTGTTTGTTTGTTTGTTTTTTTATATTCGCCAGAAGAACCAAAAATTTCTATTCTTTCTTTTTTGTATTTTTATGTTTGTTAGTTTCGTTGCAAAATAAGAAAAATCTGATGTACTTTGTTAGAGATGAAAAAAATTTTTTTCAATTGAACAAAGTACAATGACAATATAAATGTTTGGTTTTTTGGGCCATTTCTTTCTGAGCAATACGGGCTTTTTTCCTTTTGCTGTTGTGTTTCAATTTATATATATATATAACTGTGTCTCCCATCTTCCTGTTTTTGTTTTTTTTTGAAAAGTCTTTTCATGGATCTCTAGTTTGTTATTTGTTTGTTTCAAGTAGTTTCAGTTTTCATGTTTTATTCACTCAAAGAGCTTTTCTACTTCCGTCTGCTGGTCTTTGTAGAACATTTGAAGAAGCACAACCGCAATTTATTGTCTATTTCTTTATGTTTTGTCTCACTTCTATACTTTGTTACGTGTTCATGTTCTTTTTAAACGTATTGTATACAAAGATGATTTTATAATATATTTTTCTGCTATCCTGTTGCCTTAAATATATTGCGTTATTTCTATATGTGTATCTGTATTACATGAACAAAAAAAACAAAAAATATTACATTGTTAAACAAACTGAAACGAAATGAGTTTATATTTTACACAGTATGCGCTTTTTATGCGCACTTTTTTTTTTTTTTGTTTTTTGCTTTTCTCTATTTTTGTTTTCATTTGTGTCCCAAAATTTTCACTAAAAATCCTAGATTTAATTTATTAGAAGATAATAGAATAGATCACCAAAATATTTCTCTTTATGTTTTCATATTGAATCTCAACATTTATTTAGTTTCGGTCTGTCTGGGATCTGTTTTATTCTTCTTCAGAAAATCAAATCAGTTTCTTTTCTTCTCTTTGTTTGTATTCATGTATGTGTATATATATATATATATATATCTGACGTTGGAAAATTGTTGTTTGTTTGGTCATTTTTTTCTTTTTCCATTAATAACTATTATTTTCTCTTTGGTGTGTTTTTCATAATTATTATTATTGATATTGATGTACTATTCTTGTTTTTCTCTTCTTTTATCCTCTTCTTATATTATTATCATCATTAAGCTATAACGAGTTTTCTTTTTTGTCCTCCTTTGTATAAATCGACTCTTGTGGTTTGATTTTTGTTTTGTTTCCATTTTTTGAATTTATTCTTGTTTTTATTTGTGCGAAGCCAAAATTGGCTCAAAAATAAAAATCTCATACGAAATCAAACAAGATGCTCGTTTATGTATAATGAAAGATTTATTTAAATCTTTTTAAAACATATTTTTCAAGTAAGAGACGATTGATCCATTTTAACAAAATACATTTAGGGATTATATTTATCAGAAACATTTTTCTCCTATAGTATGTTGGCAAAATTCACAATAATGTCTAAAATTAATGTACATATCCATGTTCGTATGTGATACATGAGAGACACTGAAGAAACAATTATCGCGCACTGTTACATTAATTAAAATTTAGTTTTAGATTCTATGGCATCAATTATCTTTAAAAAAAATTCTAACAAAAAGTGCACTGTCACACATTGAGACGTGAGCTATATTTTGCATTTGGAAAAAGAAATGCATAAGAAGAACGTTTTTTAAAAGATTTTTAGTATATTATGGTTGTAGAGTACAATAATTTACTAGATCATTAGCAAATTTTGTGCACTTTTTTGGTTCTCAAATACAGAATCGCATTGGATAAAAAGTTCTAGTGTTAAGCCAAATTTCATTTTATTTTCTGTTATTTTTTCTTTCTGAACTATTATAGCTACTGAAATATTCAGTATTATATGGGTGATGACAAAAATCAGACCAATCGGCTCATCTAAATCAACTTCAACAGAGTTTTCAGAAAACGGTTTATAAAAAATCTGCTTGGTATCGAATGTTTGGACCAAATACTAGGACCTTTTTGCAAGTTTTTTCTTGCGAGGTACCTTCCTCATTAATACAGTTAATGATTCAAATGATCTTCAACTGATCAATTCAAATACGTATAAATCAAACGGATTTGATTCAGCCAACAATGGTTGTTCTCTCTCTTTTTCAACTATCTGAGACGGAGTATGATAATAAGTCATGTGTTGGTTGAGTGCCATTGTGTCAGTATGATATCCTTTTTTAATGCAGTTTCTATTTTCCCGGTTGGAAACTAAAACTCTTCTAAAGTTTTATAAACGTTTCGGCAGATTTTTACAGAATGATATAAAATTCTATGAAGCAAGTTCTTTTAGTCAAAGGTCTAGCAAAATCGCAGATGAACGGGAATTAAAAATAGTCTAAGATATTATCAGATGATAAAACAAAAGGTCATAGACTTAAACTATAGGTGAGTGCTCCCTCCTATTAAATTGGTACTCTGCTGCCATCTAATTTCGTTTCATTCGCATTTTTATTACAATATTTTTTTCACAAACGAATAAGCAGTAGTATGGTTTATTAAGTAAACCACATTTAGAAATAACATTTAGAAATAATTATGTAGAAGTTTTACTGACAAATCTTTGTGAAGGCCGAATAAAGTTAGCGAAAAATGAAGATCAATTTGCATTTACCTTACACTGCAAATTTAGTAAGCTACTGCAACAGCTTAAAGTCAGCCATTAATCCGGTCATTTCATAAAGCCGGAGCAATGGCTGAGTTCCACTGCCGAATCGTTATCTAGTAAGCCATCCAAATGACATTTTTAAT